CGTGCCCGTGGACTGGCTCCGCCTCGCAGCAGCGTGGCAGGTGTCCGTGGGGACCTGGGGTCCTCTGGGATAACCCCCCACCTGGACACTGCACAAGGTCTAGCGCTGTGAGCGACAGACTGAGTCTTTAACCCGGGAACCAAGGAGGCCCGCCTGGCCCTCGGCCTGGTCCCCTGGAGGACTGCCCTGCGGTCTTCTAGATGGAGGGTCCAAGCTCCGAAGGACGCTACGGGGCGGGACGCGCACGGGGCCACCCGGCGAAGGGGCCCGCACTCACTTGTCGTCCCTCTTCAGAAAGACACCGACGTACGGCTGGGCAAGGCGGACTTTCCTCCGGAGCAGCTCAGCCAGCTTCTTGTTCTTGACCTGGAAGGAGGCGGCCCGTGTGAAGCAGCGCGCGTGTCCCGTTGGTAAAGGACGCGTGTGCCGGACCCCCACATAGTCGACCGCGGTTCGAGTCCCTGACCCAGCAGCTTAAAATTCACAATGGGCACATGTGCGTGCGTACCCAAGATCCCGAGGGGGGAAGGGATGCAGCCTGGCCATCCCGCTGGGGGGGTGACTTCTCGCTTTCTGTCTGTCTCTCCAGCAAGCACATGTGCCCTATAGCAATAATCTCAGTCCAATAAAAAAGTCTTCAGAAAAAACAGTTTTGCCCCAATATCCAGAGGACGCCAGGGCCGGCTCCACAACTAGGGAAGGGAGCCAGACCCCACGCGGCCGACCATGACCTGAACCCTGGCCTGGGCAGTGTGAGAAGCCTGGTGGACAGGTGCACGCGTGTCCCTAATCCCGACAGCATGGAAAGACGGAGAGGGACTGCTGTGGGACCACACGCCATCCGAGCTGCTCTCCTCCCCCCTCTCTCTGGCACGCACGTGTGGACTCTGGCGACTCAAGAAAAAGAAAGAGACAACCCTAAGCTTGCCTGATTCCACTGTGACCCCCACACGCTACAGCCTCCCTCCTCTAGCTGCCAGGGAAGGCATCTCCTGACCGCACCTAAAGGCTGTTCAGGTATCCGACCCCCAGGACCATGGCACTTTCTGAAGTCGTTTCGACAGCAGGTTTGGAGCCCGCCGGCTCCCCAGAGACTTGGGCTAGACCCGTGAGCACACGTGTTCCAGGGCTCGCCTACACTCTTCCCAGCCTGGGTCAATGGCCCTGAAACTCTGGCAGGCACCCAGTTATCTGGAGGACTCACTAAAACTGATGCCTGGGGGCACGTGACAGGTGATTAGGGCTTTAGATTTCCCCATGGCCTACTGTGGTTCGGGTCCCGGACCCAGTGGCACGTGTGTGTGTGCCCAAAGTCCCAAGGAGAGCATGGAGGACATGGGACTGCGGTGTGGCCAACCCCCGGGGAGGGGGGTTCTTTATCACTTTCCTTCTTTATCTTTGGCCCTATGGCAAATACCTTAAAAAAAAAAAAAAAAGAAAGAAAGGAAGGAAGATGGCGTAATGACTATGTTGCTGGACTCCCGTGATATCGATCATGGTTCGAGTCCCAGACTCAGCGGCTTAAACTCACGCTGGGCACATGTGCGTGCCCAAGATGCCAAGAGGAGAATGGAGAAGGGATTGCGGCGTGGCCATCCCCCGGGGAGTGATTTCTCGCTTTCTGTCTCTCTATCTCTGTCTTTCTGGAGAGTGCGTGCGCCCTATAGCAAGACTCTCTAGAAAAGAAGAAAGGAAGAAAAGGGAATTGATGGCGGGGCGCCAGCCCTGGCGTTCCCGACTGAGGAGGGCTGGGGTGGCCTGAACACCTGCATTTCTAACGAGCTCCCAGGTGACGCTGGGGTCACGGTGCAGGGGTGCAGGCTGAGGACCATCACGAAGGCGCGAAGCGTGGTCCTGGGGTCCCTGACACCCAGCCGCGCTTCTTCTGGGAAGACAGTCTATTGACATCTGATGAGGACCTACGTCCCCCCGCCCATGAAAGGCCAAGAGCAGGGACGGAGCTTACCGCAAATGTGCCCCACCGTCAGTGTCAACTACAAAATCGAGAGCAGGCGGAACCGGGCTGGCCACGGTTCAAGGCCTGGACCTGGAGGCTTGCTTTCTCACGTTCCGTGCTTTGCTGCCACCAATCCCTCCACCATGTCCTGCTACCTGTGCCCCCCTCCTCGGCAGGACCGCTTTGGATTATTTACCAAAAGGACCTAAAACAGTAATCCTGTGAGCTCCTCGGGCCAGCCTCCCTCAGCCTGCAGGCTAGCGGGGTGTGTGTGGGGGTGCAGGACTCACGGAAACCACTGCTGTGTTGGGGCAGGGGCATGTCTCTGAGGGGGCACAGTCCTGACCCAGAAGCCTGGGAGGGGAAAGAGCACTGTGTGTAGGGGGAGGTGTCAAGAACAGGGTACAGTCCTCCGGAGAGGGTCCTGGAACATTAGAACTAAACCGAGCGGGGGACAGCAGCAGCACAGCCTTCCCAGGGGGGCACGCCGGAGAGCAGGCTCGGTTCTCAGGCCCTTATGTACCGACCCACGTGACCCCTAGGCACTGTCATGGCCAGCTCACAGACAAGCACATGGAGGCCAGGGGGGAAATGAACCGACGGTGAGTTAGGGGGTGCACAGTAACTTCTAAAGGTCAAGGAAGGGCAGGGAGGGGGCGGGGGCACATGCCACCAGCAGTGCGGTAGGTAAAGTAGGAGGGGCCGCCGCTGTCCCCTGGCCAGCAGCTGCCGCCCCTTCTCCTTCCGAGGGGTCCCTGAGACTTAGCAGTTGGGAGAGTAAGGACGGTGAGGGTGGACGTGACTCATTGAGGTTACCAGGCAACCTTTTCCACCATGGGATCCTGTGTCCACTGTAATTTTTTTAAATGGGTGGCCCTACGGAGGAGGTTAAAGCGGTTGGATCTCCCAGGACTGACCATGCAGTTCGATTCCCAGAACCGCCGGCTTGAAAAACACACCGGGTGTGTCCAAAAATCCCAAGAGGATGGGTGCCCAAAAATCCCAAGAGGAAGAGGTGGAGAAGGAATTGCAGGGAATCATTTCTCACTTTCTACACTCCCCCCCCACACACACACACAGACCTCCCACCTGGGTATACCCTTTGACAAAATTTTAAAAAGGAAAAACAGCAGACTGGACAGAACGGTGTCCCTTCCTACTCTGAAACTACGTTCCCTGCGTTCACGCTTTCTCTGGGTTACATCACCCAGCTCCCTCTTTCCCCACCCGGGCTCTTAGTCTGGAAGGATCTTGTTTGTCACAACAGAAACTGCTTTGGCCAGGGACTGGCTGGATTTCTTCACCACCGTACTCAGAGCCTGCTAGGGAGTAGGAGACCAAGAACGCTATGCTGAACGCAATAAGATCCTCCTCCCACCCTCTCCCTCGGCCTCCTGTCCCGCCCCTGGCTCTTTATTCCGGGCAGGAATTACTGCCTTCTAACACAATACGAGCCTGCTGCGGCCTCTTTCATCCTGCCTGAACCTGAATTCCAAAGACAGGAAACGTTACCTAGCGCTGAAACAGTAACAGTCAAGAAATATGTAACCAGGAAGATTGAATCCTGGTCCCAGGAGAACTCTAACAAGACCGCAGACGGCCTAGGGAGGCCGGGTGCAACAGAACATTTACCAAGGAAGCAAAATGTAACCGAACTCCTTCGCTGCTCTGGTCTCGCCCAGCCCCGGATTTCCAGGGCGAGGACTCGCACCTGACAGCCCTAACTCACTGAGATAACTTCGATCATCGAACAGACCCCCAAGGGATCCGGGAGGGGGCAGGACTGGGCTCAAGATCACGAAGCTTGTGCAAAGCGGACTAAGACCCCCAACTCCAGTTTTAGGGAAACTTGGTGCTTGAACAAGTTGCGAGGCATGAGGACGCTAAGGGACCCCCGCGCCGAGGCGGGGGCTCTCATTACCTCGATAATCTTGATAAAGCGCGGGAACACCGGGTTGCGGGTGATGGCGATGAGCGGCAGGTGCGGGAACACGTCCGGGATGGTCATGGGCGTGAGCGCCGTGATAACCGGGCCTTCCCCGCCGCCCCCCGGGCTTCCG